ACCACTGTGCCACTTGCTGGCCATGGCATGAGTGTTTGGGTCTTTCTGGCCTGGCTAAACATTTCTTTCCAAGGTAAGCTGGTCAGTTACCCTCAGCAGACTGATCGAGGAGCAAAAACAGGACAGAGAAGTGACCAGCTGTCCACAGGGGGTGGCTGACCACCAGAAAGGTTGTCCTCGGGGATAGACTGTGAGTGGTTGGCCCCACCAAACCCTCGCAGGACTTAAGGAGACTCTGCAGCGGTGGGAAGGTTACTTCGTCTTGCCGTGCCTCAGTTTCCTGTCTACACCTACATCTTCTAAACCTCAGTTTACATTTCTGCACGTGGCTAGTGGCCACTGCATTGGCTCATGCAGCCTCCTAGGTCCTCATTCATCCTTTTCTTACATTGTTTGCCATTTGGAAATGATCTCAACCTGTTTGCAAGGAAGATGAGGCATGAAAGGATTAAAATCACTATAAAGGTGAGCCTTAACAAGGGGTTGTGTTTTTTTAAAAATTATTTTATTAATAACTATTATTATTTTTTAATTTGTGGCAGAGCTTGTGCACTCAAGAGAGAGGCAGAGAGAGAGAAAGTGAGAAAGCCAGACATCAGGCCTGGGACTCCAACAGCAGCTGGCCATGTGGGAGTCCAGAGCTTCCACCACTACGCCACCTGCTGGCCCCACAAGACTTTTGACTCAGTCTGCAAACAAGAAACTAGCCATTCATTCAGACGTGTGAAGAGCATACGGATTCGGACACGGAGTAAGTGACAGGACTGTCACTGCAGAAGCCTACAGACGTGGCCCAGCAGTAAGGCACCGTGTATGTAACCCAAACTCTAGATAAAAAGTAAGAGAGGAGGGGAGAGGGGAGAGAGGAATGAGGGAGTCGGGGCTTTGGAACAAGGCTAAATCAATATTCCAGGGAGAAAAATCAAAAAATCAAAAGTTAAGTGACTTGGCAGGGCTGACGAGTGACTCAGGACTCCTGAGCTGCCACAGAGGGTGTCCTGCTAACTTCGCTTCCCTCAGAATCCATGAGTGCTAGAACGTTCGGAGCATTTACAGCCTGTGTGTGTGTGTGGCGGGGGAGGGTGGAGACAGCACAGAGGATGTTCCAGGAGAAAAGGTTCTGCCACTGGTTTTGGTAAGACCAGGAAACTTCACACCGTACCAGGTCTCAAAGAATGATCAAATTAGGCCCAGCTGGTGGCATGGTGGTTGGGGCAATTATTTACTTCATTTTCTTTATCATTATCATTTTAAAATTCGCTCCAGGGCACATGCACTCACCAGAGAGAGACAGAGAGAGGGAGAGGGAGAAAGCAAGCTACCAGGTCTGGGACTTGAACCGCAGTTGACCATGTGGGAGGGAGTCCAGCGCCTCAACCACCACGCCGCCTGCTGGCCCCATTATAAATTATTCTTTCCAAAAAGAAGTATGATCGAATCTTACACAAAGGTGAGGAGAGTAATTCTTACTGTATTTAATAAAGGGGTTCTCTGCAGCTAACCTTTCAGGTTGTCTCTGAGCAACAACGGAACAGAAATCAGGACCTCCCCTTAGGTTTACAGATGCGGGAAAGAGCCCATGGGTAGCAACTTGGAGGGAACCAAAGCTTCTAAGGTGGACTTCCCATATCTGTGGGTTCCATGTCTGCGGATTCGACCAACCGTGAGTGCGGCCGATCACTGGGAAACGGGAACAGGCGATTCCCTAAGGCAGGCTGAAGGCGGCCCTCTGTGTACGCTCCTTTCACCTGCACCTGCTGCGAAGGCAACTCACATGGAACCTGAGATAAGTACACGGGAGGAGGTGTGTGGGTGACATGTAAATATCTTGTCATTGTAGAACAGGGGTTGGGGACTGGCTCTGAGGCACCGTGGTAACACGCTGCTCAAGGGAAAGTGACCCCATGTGGCGATCACAGTTTGAAGCCCTGGCCTAGTCAGCCTGAAACACGCCGGGTGTGTGAGTGCCCAAGAGCCCAGGAACTGGAGGACGGGGTCGTGATGCGACCAGACACTGGAGGGTGCCCCTCTCCCTCTCAGGAGGGGTCCTGCACAACCTCCCCGGATGCTGAGGAACCACTGCTACGGTGCAATATCTGAGCACGTGAAGCCAGTCTGGGCTTCGCTGGCTCAAAGCAGCCGGCAGCCTCTGCGACTTTTCAAAAGCCAGGCCCAGGCCTCACCTGTCCAAGGAGGAGGCGTGCGAGTGGCTGACTCAGCGCTGAGGGGAAGGGCAGAAGGGCGCGCGTGTATGTGCACATGCACACACAGAACATGGGCATGTGCTCAGGCCTGCTTGACACTTACCCTTTTTCGAGCTTATTTTTTCTGAGAGAGAGAGAGAGAGAGAGAGAGAGAGAGAGAGAGAATGGGGGAGACAGAGGGAAAAGGAGGCAGTGGGAGTCGGTCATCATGCCACGATCAACCAGTCTCAGCCAGTCGGGATCACGGGTGTACGTGCCTGCTCCCAGCGCACTCAGAGAGGCCTCAGGACACAAACCCAGGACCTTTCCTGTGGGGTCCGACTGTGTTACTGGCACCACCCACCGAACCCGACTCTTGCTTCTTCTGAGAGAGGGTAGAGAGAGGCTTAGGGTGGAGCTCCCCTCGTGAATGGCAGTTGGGGGCCCAGGGTGGTTACCGCGGGAAGCCCCAAAGGCCTGTAGGAAGCAGAGGTGTGGGCCAACCTGTGCCCAGGAACTTCAGAAAACAGGTTGGCCAGTCAGAGCGCTTCTCAGACACTGCCCTGTGAAGATCCCAAGTCCAAACACAGGCCAGAAAAGACCTTCTTTTTTTTTTTTTAAAAATATTTATTTACTTTTATTATCATTATTTTTAAAATTTGACCAGAGAGAGACAGAGTAAGGGAAAGGGAACATGCAAGCCATCAGGTTGGGGCTCCAACCTCAGTCTGCCATGTGGGAGTCCAGTGCCGTAACTACCACGCCACCTGCTGGCACCAAGACATTCAGTTTTAACATCAAATTTTCTCCTCCCGAGATAAGGCTACCCGTGGCCCGGCCCCTTGCTGGGGTACTGGAGAAAGGTACCTGGGCTGCTTTTACTTCCCATCTGTTCAAACAAAGCCCGCAGGCCTCCCAGGACTGCTGGACAAGGGGGAGATGAGGACGGAGGAGGATGAGACCCTCCGACAGTGAGGAACAGAGGAAGGGTGAGTTGGATTCGGAATGCAGGGGGGAAGGTTTTAGCTCCCTTCCTCGGTCCAGCCCGTCAGGGCTGCCTAGGCTGGGTTGGATGGCGGCAATTCAGTCCACAGAAAACCCATCTGCTTCCTAAGGCCGCGCTGAGAGCAGATGAATGCAGGAAAGTACTTAGGGATGCCAGCATGCCACATGCCAAGCTCACTGGGTCAAAGCCCCTCGTGCCATCCTGCACTAGATTCTGCGTACTCTTCTTTTTAAGTTACAGCAAAAAAAATGTATGTAACATAAAGTTTACCATATTAGTCTTTTTAAAAAAAAATTGTTATAAAGATTGTATGCCCATGAAGAGAGACAAAGAGAGAGAGAGAGAGAGAGAGAGAGAGAGAACGAGCACTCCCCAGGGAGGACGCTGCAATCCCTTCTCCTCCATTTTTGTCTCAGGATTTTGAGCACACACACATACACATGCCCAACGTGTTTCTCAAGCTGCTGGGTCCAGGACTTGAACTTCATAGTCAGCCATATGGAATCCAGTCATCTTAACCTCCATACCACTGGCTGGCTTCATGTTAGCCATTTTTAGGACCACTGCTCTGTGGCGTAAGTACATTCACATTGCTGGGCAACCATCACCACCATCCATCGCCCAAACACACTCACCCTCCCAAACTGAAACTCTGCACGGTCATCGCGAAGCCCCATCCTCTTCCTGCTGGCCCCCAACAACCACTTCCCACCTGCCCATTCGGGTCTGGCTTATTTTGCTAACATGATGTCTCCAAGGTTCACCCTGGTTCTATCAGGCCTCAGAGTCTCTTCCACCTTTTAAGGCTGGAGAATGCGCTGCAGTCCCTGCCACATTTTTATTTTTTGAGAGATTTTTGCTATAGGGCATGTGTGTTTGCTGGAGAGACAAAGAAACAGAAAGTGAGAAATCCCCCCCAGGGGATAGCCACACTGTAGTCCCTTCTCCTCTTCTCCTCTTGGGATTTTGTGCTCTCATGTGCATGCACCTGGCGTAAGTTTCAAGTCGCTGGGTATGGGATTCAAACCATGGTCGACCACATGGGAGTCCAGTGCTTTAACCACCATGCCACCTGCTGGTCCCTCCTGCCACTTGTCATTTCTTTCTTTCTTTTTTTTTTTTTTTTTTTTTGAGAGGTTTTCGCTATAGGGTGCGTGCACTCACCAGACAGACAGAGAGACATAGAGACAGAAAGTGAGAAATCACCGCCCAGGGGGGATGGTCATGCCACAATCCCTTCTCCTCCATTCTCCTCTCGGGATCTTGGGCACGCACGCACACGCACCCGGCGTGAGTTCTAAGCCACTGGGTCCGGGACGCGAACCGCGGTCAACTACATGGGAATCCAGCGACATAGCCATTACGCTAACTGCTGGTTCCCCCTCCTGCCATGTTTATGATCCACTATGTATCAATGGACATTTGGGCTGTCCCATCCTGATGATGGTGAATACTCTGCTGTGAATGTCGGGGTACAGCAGACATCTGAATCTCTCCTTTCAACTCTTCTGGGCATCTCATACACCAGGAGTGGTACTGCTGGTTTAGATGGTAATTCTTTTTTTTTTTTTAGATGGTAATTCTATGTTTACTGTTTTGAGGAACCCCTCCAATTTTTCTTTTTTTAGGTTTTGTCATAAGTCCATGCTCTCCTGAGAGACAGTGAAAGGGAAAGTGAGAAATCAGCCCCCAGGGTGGATGGCCACACGGCAGTCCCTTCTCCTCCATTCTCTTCTTGGGATTTTGGGCACACATGTCTGTCATGATGTCAAAGCCACTGGGCCCAGGACTCAAACTGTGGCCAGCCATGTGGGAGTTTAGTGCTTCTACCACCATACCACTTGCTGGTGCCCGATTTTCTTTTAATAATACACAACACAGAGACTTCAGACTTCAAGAGTTGGAAGAAAATGGAAAAACTGTTTTACTCATTTTTTTCTCTATTATTCATGGATGCTGCCAGAAAGGTACTCCACTTTTTTCGGGGGGTGGGGGTGGGGTGGTGGTGACAGAATTTTCTGACCCCCTCAATCATCTCCACTCCATTTCACTCACTAGCCTCGTGGTGAGACAGAGCTGCTCCACCTGTGGAGTTCCTGATCCCAGCCTGTGAGTGTCCACCCTGAAAGAGCCTCCTCCCTGCTCCCTCCAGCATCCCCCTCAGATCTCCCACCCCTGCAGAACTTCTCTCCATCTCGGGTCTGCTTCTGCACCCAGAACTACCTTCCTCAGCCATCCCTGACCTCCTGGTCGTCATTCTCCAAGACCCCATCTCCTCAGGCACCCTGTCCCCCTGTACTCTCTCTTTTCTCAGTCGTGGTGGCTTCTCTCATCTCCTTTGCTGGCTTTTTCACGAATCTACATTGAGGGAAAGAAGGTGCCACGCGGCTATGGCCAAGAAGGTCCTGTCCTCAGCTCTGTCCTTTCCACGTTCTCTCTCTGAACAAGGGTTTTGTAGATTACAATGAACAATGAACAATGAACAATTTTTTGTCGATAACTTCCAGACCCACATCTCAGTGCCTGATTTCGTTCCCAAGCTTAGGACCCACCTTCCCAGTGATCTAGAGTAGGGATCCCCAACCCCTGGGCTACAGACAGATACGGTGGCCTGTTAGGAACCAGGCCGCACAGCAGGAGGTGAGCAGCGGGCCAGCGAGCATCTGCATTTACAGCCGCTCCCCATTGCCCTCATAGCCTGGGCCCTGGCTCCTGTCAGAGCGGCCAAGGCATTGAAGCAGCGCATTGAGACACGTCAAAAATCCCAGTGTTTGTGCGTCAATAATCCCAGTTCAGCTTTGAGCGCCACTGCATTCTCGTTGCAAGAAAACAAGCTCAGGGCTCCCACTGATCTTGCACTATGGTGAGTTATATCATTTTATTCCATTATATGTTACAATGTAATAATAATAGAAATAAAGTGCATGACGAATGTATTGAATCATCCTGAAACCACCCATCTCCCCACTTCCCCCACCCCTAGTCCATGGAAAAGTTGTCTTCCACAAAACGGGTCCCTGACGCCAAACAGGATGGGATGCTGGTCTAGAGGGCTTCCTTATGATCCTGCAAAATCACGTGCCAAAAGCAAGCTCATTTCCGCTCGCTATACTTGCTTCTCTGCGTCTGTCATTTTTCCCTCAATTTCATGATCAGCTTCCCAGGTAGTGACGTTCAAAATTCAGGGTGTCCTCCCCTCCCCTTCGCCTTGGTCCCACTGATTGGTGACATCTCCATGTCCTCCTGGCTAGACGTCTGCATTGCTTGCTCTGTGACCCTGGCCCAGGTCCCCTGTAAACAAGGCAGCTGATCATTCTTCACAACTGCCCGGGTCCCGCAGTCTATTCCGAGTGCTTCTCTACGCCTGCTCGACTGCTCGCCATCTCCCAGCACCCTGCCAGCGGGTAAGCAGAGCTCTGTCCACTGCAGAACCCGCACGGCCTCTGCACCAAGGCAGGCCTTTAGTCCACCTCTGGGCAGCCAATGGCCAACTTTTGCTCCCTGGTCATTTCAGGAAGGGCATCTGGGAGTCCGGACCTAATGCTGAAGCTGAACATATTTGAACAGCTGAGTAAACCATCCTTGCTTTCAGAAGCCAGAGTGGTTCTTCAAGGACTAAAAACTCACCAAACCAGTTCCTGTGTTTTTGAAGAAAGAGGGTAAGTTTGCCAGCAGGAAACAGGACTTGGGAGGCCCCCCTTTCCCAGGTGTGTTTACTCAAGAGGAGGTGACATTTGGATACAGCAGGCGTGTCTACTGCAGCCGGTTCAGTCCAGTTATTCTAGCACATTTCCTCATCTCTTCTGTACCCTAAAATTCCCCAGTGTTAATGGACGTATATCACGGCCTCATGTGGGATTGCAAGGTGGAAATCATGGCGTTTGTATCGTGTCTGTAGCAAATGTGGGGGAACTTCTGGTGCACAGCGAACTTCAGACTCATTTCCATTGACAATAGTAATTTAGAGTATTAGCATTGAACCTGCAGTTCAAAGTAATGTACAAATGGAGTTTAGTTAATAGTAACCTATTAGGGCCAGCATTTGGAGGGGTAGTTAAGGACTGGACTTCCACATAACCAACCACGGTTTGAGTCCCAGACTGGGCAGCATGTCTACTTGCATGCCCAAAATCCCAAGGGGAAAACGGAGAGGGATTGTGGCATGGCCATCTCGCTGGGAGTGGTTTCTCATGTTTTCTCTCTCTCTTTCTCTCTCCCCAATAAGCACACGCACCCTACAGCAAAAAGTCTTAAAAAAAAAAAAAGTAATGTATCAGGAGAGTTTGAGAAATCCACACAGTGACGTAAGAGGTTAACATTTAGAGAGCAGAATGGGCGAGGAGTGAATAGAAATTCTATTGTCTCGGCAATTTTTCTCTAAAGTTAGTCTATCTCAAGATAAAAGTGTTGGAAAACAGTGATCCACTTTCCCCCCTTCCTACATGTGGGGTAGCACCAAGCCCTTCATGAACACTGGCTTGGCTGTGTCATGGTCCTGAGGTCGAGACTCCAGTCCGACTTTACAGGCCAGGAAATGAGCTCCGTGAGGTCCGTGGGAGCTAACACAGGCCTCAGGTCCTGCGTCCGCTCAAGCTCGGATCGTAACCATCCAGCTGACATGGGTCAGACCACGCTTCCCAGATAACAGCAGAAGGAAAATAATGTATATAGATTCACATAACAATCCCCTCCCACACGCACGCGCGCAGAGTCAGGAACTCAGTGCGAACTCCTTTCTCAATAAACCTCTGTGAGGTTTCTGTTCGTAGCACTGAGTGCATTCAGCCCCAGGGCTGCCTGTTCTCTGTGGTCGCTGATGGTCCACACGCCCTCCAGGCAGGACAGACAGTTCTCTGTGCTCACGCAGGATGCCCACAGCGACAGGAGGGCCTGGCTGTCCACAGGGAGAGTAGATCCTCCCTGGGCAAAGCCTCACCCTCACATACTTCTCATTCACTCTTGTACTCCATTCACTGCTTGAAGAATAAAGAAACACAAGTTGGGGGCCAGCAGCTGGCGAAGTGGTTAAGGCACTGGACTCCCCAGTGGCTGACCATGGTTCGAGTCCTGGGCCTGGCAACTTGAAACTCATGCTGGGAGTATGTGTGCCCAAAATCCCAAGAGGAGAATGGAGGAGAAGAGATTGTAGTGTGACCATCCCCCTTAGGGGTGGTGATTTCTCACTTTCTCTCTCTCTGTCTCTCTCTGTGTCTCCAGTGAGTTAACAACCCCTATAGCAAAATTCTCTCTTCAAAAAAAAAAAAAAAAAAAGAAACAAGATTATAACCTGCCTGAGAAACACAAACTGAAGAATCATGGCATCTTAGACTTGTCAGAGGTACTGTAAAAGGTACTCATCCGAGTCCACTCGAGAAGTACTTAAACACAGATTTCGGAGCCACCCTCACCACTCCGATTCAGAAGGGCTGGCTGGGACGTGGCAATCCGCAGTTTTCCAAAGCCCCTCTCTGCGTCTGTGTCCCCCCACTCCTGGCAACCGGATGCATCACTAGGCTTGGGGACTGATCAGTAGATAGGCAGCTCTGGAAATGAACAGGGTCTGCAGGAGAACCCTGAGGTGCAGGAGCGTGTGACCTCACAGGACGATCCCCCCGCCAAGGGGCAGTTCACCTCAGGAAGTCCTTTTCTGTATTCTGATGCAATCTGCTTCTCTGGAAACCTACTCCTGTGTTTCAGGTTTGCTCTCTGGGACCAGCAGTCAGCGTAATGGCACAACTAAAAAGACACACTTGGGACCAGCAGATGGGGTAATAGTTAAGTTGCTGGACTCCCATGTAGTCGACCATGGTTTGAGTCCTGGACCTGGTAGCTTAAAACTTATGCTGGGCGTGTGTGCATGCATGCCCGAAATCCTGAGAAGAGAATGGAGAAGGGATTGCAGCATGGCCATCCCCCGAGGAGGTTATTTTTCTCTTTCTGTCTCTCTGTCTCTCCAGCGAGCACACACACCCTGTAGCAAAAATCTCTCTAAAAAAAGGACACACCCTTTTCCATAGGAACTGGCCCACATATATCTGAAGAGAGCCGTCCTGTTTTCCAAAGTCTTCTCTCTTCCAGACTAACTGCCCTTAGTTCCTCCAATCATCATTTTATTCTTTTTAAATGAATGCATTATTATCCTATTTTGAATGTCAAACTCAGAATCGGGGCTGTGTTTTATGCATGATCTCGGGGCCCCAATGTCAAGGGGCTGGCGATCCTTTTCCTTGCTCTGGGCTCCTTTTAGTGAGGCAGTCCAGGGTAAAGTCCTGGCCCTTGCTAACACGCTGGGATCTCCTGGGAGGCTTGAGCAGACATCACTGCTCAGACGCTGCCCCTCGAGAGTCTGATAAAGCCAATCTGGGGTCCTGCCTGGTTATTCTAATCTTTCCAAAGTTCCAGGTGGTTTTAATAAGGAGACAATGTTCAGAGCTACCGATACCGGGGACGCTGGTCCCTCTCTGCCACGTGTTGACTCGAACTGGATTCATTCACGCTCTGCTTCTTCCTTCGAATCCCTGCCAAGCCAGGTCTTCCCCGTCGGGAACGTGAGAAGCTGATTAGTGGAACTCACTTGCTGACCTTGCCATTCATTCCGAGAAGCACCCACATGTGGTTCCATCTGTGGTTGCGAGGCCACTGTGGGCCACGTGGATTGAGCAATCCACTTTCTCTCCAGCTGTGTCTTTCACATGCTTCTGCCATCTCCATACGAAAAGTGGTTAAGGGGCCAGCAGATGGCATAGCAGTTACGTCACTGGACGCCCACATGGCTGACCACGGTTGAGGCCCAGACCTGGGAGCTGTAAAGTCATGCCGGGAGCGTGTGTGTGCGTGCCCAAGATCACAGGAGGAGAATGGAAAAGGGACTGCAGTGTGGCCAGACCCTCAGCAGGTAATTTCTCACTTTCCCTCTCACCGTGTCTGTCTCTCCATTAAGCATATGTGCCCTAAGGCCAAAAAAAAAAACCTAAAAAAAATTATGGATCATCAGACAATAACACTCCTGAAAACCCTCTGGGAATCAAATGACACCAGCTGCTTTTTAAGCAACTGCATACTCTTCCAAAGATAAGGGCCAGCTGCCAAAGACTGATGGCCATGGATAAGTCCCGCGTTTGGCATTTCTGCCTGGAATGAAACGTGTCAGACGCCCTCCAAAGTACTTTCTGCTGGCGGGAGCCATCTGAAGCCACCACCATGGGCCTTGCAAATTGATGACATTTCCTGTGTGGCTTCGCCAACATCATTTGAATCAACTGCTGTACTGATCCAGCTCAAGATAATCTGAGCTACAGAAGATTTGCTTAAGACTGTCCTAACGCACACCTGGCCAGAAAGCACACCGTCACACGGTTTCCCCAGGTTGCAGTGGTCATGAGGGCGTCTTGTAATTTTCTATGGATGGTGAGGCAACATCACCATGCAATCAAGAGGTTCCAGGTAAAGCTTGGGAAGATGAGGTTACATTTTATAGAATTTTAAAGGTTTTTGCCATAGGGTGCATACACTGACGAGAGAGAGAGAGAGAAGGAAAGTGAGAAATCATCCCCTAGGAGGAATGGACATGCCACAATTCCTTCTCCTTCAGTCTCCTCTTTAGGCATGTAAGCACATACACCCAGTGTGATTTTCAAGCTGCCGGGTTCGGGGCTCAAACTGTGGTCAGTCAGCACCTTAACCACTATGCTGCCTGCTGGCCCAACATGTAGAATTTTTAATTCTGAAAAGTGGTCTTTCTCTGCTGTCCGCAAAACTGAGACTCTCGCTAACAAGGCATTTTCAATTTTTTCCATGAGGCTGACTTTGTACCTGTTATTTCTCAATTTTGGCTATACTTGCTGCCCTGGGGCCTCTTAATAAAGCCTGCCACTTCCTCTCAAGGGGAGAAGAGCACATGAATTACCCTCCAGGTTAGAAAACACATGAACCTAGGGCCAGCTCTGTGGCACAGCGGTAATGCATGTTCAGGAGAAGCTAGATCCTACAAGGTGAGGGGAGATCGAATCCCTGACTGGGTTAGCCCAAAACATGCTGGCCATGCACGAGTGTTTAACTCTTAACACACGCGTGCCCAAGATCTGACAGGCAGGCAGGCTAGGGTTTGCAGCATGACCAGTCCCTTGGAGGGTGCTTGTTGTTCTCTCTGTCTCTTGTTCTCATACGCACGTCCATGTGCTCTGTCATAAATAACGAAAAAGCGGCACCAAGCCAAACACCACTTTGGGTACTGGCTCTGGCACACAGTGGGGGCACAGTGCAGGGTGGCTCTGCTTATCTCTGAAGCTGGTACTTGGTTGCCACGGTTGGGTCACCAAGGCCAAACCACCGTACTAGGGTGCTTTGGGGGCCTGAGTGCCCCTGGAACCAATTTCTCACCTGTGGGGACACAATGGAGTCCATTTCTGCCCCCCACATGGAAGCCCTCTGCTATTTGTTTCCTGCAATTTTCATATGCCTGTTTAGTAGACAACCAACTTCCTGTGTGTCTGTCTACATATAATTATCCTTTTTAAAAACCCCAAAATGATTTTCTGTAGAAGGTTCTATTTTATTTAGGAAAACATACATCAGATTTTGCATTCTACAGCACACAGAATTTTTCCCAGATTATTCGTAATTTTTCGTATCGCCTTTTTCCAGATTACTGTTTTATTTGGTATTTAATGGACAGACTTAACACTATTTTAACCACCACTATTGATGCACGGTTAGGCTATTTCCAATCTTTTAATTTTGCATTGATATCTTTGCTCATGTTTTTTCATGTATTAAAGTATATTCTGGACCAGCTCTATGGCATAACAGGAACCCACTGCTCAAGAGAAGCTGGAACCCACAGGATGGCTGTGGTTTGAATCCTCAACTCGGTCAGCCTGAATCATGCTAAGCTTCTGCGGGTTCCTGAGATCCGAGGGACCGGAGGGCTGGAGGACTGAAGGAAGGGCTCATTGTGTGACTAGACTCTGCAGAGGGTGGCCATCTCTCTCTCTCTCTCACTCAGGTGCATGCGCACACGCTCTACCATGGGTAAAAGAAAAAGGCTTTTAGCTGAAATGGAAACAAATCCTTAAAAAATAATAAAAATTAGGGCCATCGAGGTGGCAGACTGAGCAGTTCAAATGCCAGACATGGCAGGTTGAAAAACATGTCAGGCATGTGTGTGTGTGTGTGCCCAAAATCCTGAGAGGAGAGTAGGAGAGAAGGGATTGTGGCATGGCTAAGATCGGAAGGGATGATTTCTTGTTTTTTGACTGACTCTCTCTCTGTCTTTCTGATGAGCGCATGCACTCTATAGCAAAGTCCTATAGCAAAAAAAAAAAAAAAAGAAAAAAATATATATATAGAATAAAGGTAGAACATGTATATGTGTGCATGTGTGTTTTGCATAGGGTTTTCTTTGCATTTTCAAAGCTTTTTATTTATTCATTTATTTATTTTTACATGAGAGACAGCAAGGGAGAGAAAGAGAAGGAAGGAGAGGTGCTTCTGATGGGGTCTCACCACACTGCAATCCTCCTGCCCCAGCCTCCCAGCTAGCTCGGATAACAGCAGTGGGCCACTGTGCCCAGCTGGTTTAGCATGGTCTGAGAACGGAACCTGAGCTTCCCATACAGCCCCAGCTTTGTGCAACGCCACACACTACCACATGCACCACCGTGGCTGGGCTTTGAAGCCCTTTTTAAACACTGAAATAAAAGGTTCAAAAAACCACAGGACACGTAGAGGCCCTTCACACAAGCCTACAAAGCCAGCACCAGTGAAATGTCCCCAACACCCCAAAAGCCTTCTGAGGCCTTTATCCCATCATCCCTTCAAAAGTAACTACTGTATTTCATATAACCATATAATTATTGTAAGAAAAAATTACATTTTTTTCAAAATGTAAACCAAGAGGGCAGAAGTGAAGAGTTGATCAAAACATACATATCATTTAATTGAAAATCATTTTAAGGCTGGCTTGTCTTAGGCCAGTTTCTTGCTTTTCATCTTTGCTTCTGCAGGGTACTTTCATGAAAATAACATTAGAGAGAGAGAGAGAAGAGTGGGGAGGGGGCAACATAACTTCAATATAATTGCACTTACCACAGGGCAAGTCGTTGCTCAATTTCCTTGAGAAAGTTGGTATGAAATTTGTGCAAAGGTTCAAAATTTGGGAAAATGAGACTTTTCAATGTTTCGGGCATGGAGTCCTCTTTGCTCACTGTGCTTTGAAACCACTGGGAATAAAAAGAGGACACAACTTTATACACAATGAAATATCAGCCAGTCCAAAAGAACAGTGAGGTCCTGTCATTTAATACAAAGGGATGGATCTAGAAGAGTTAATGCTAAATAAAATAAGCCATACTATGAAAGACAAGCACTGTATGTCCCTGCTCAATATATACTGAACATCTGCACTGTGTGGCAGAGATGGAAGATCCAAAAACACAAATGTAGAAAGAACATGGGGAGACCAGCAGTTAGCGTGGTGGCTAAGTCGTTAGACTCTCATGTAGTCGACCACAATTCAAGTCCTGGACCCGGTGGCTTAAACTCACACTGGGCACGTGTGTGTCTGGATATTTGGCTTTCTGTCTCTCTCTGTCTGGCGAGTGCATGCACCCTATAGCAAAAACCTCCCCCCCCCAGAAAAAAAGAAAAAAAGAAAAGAAAGAATATGGGAAGAGGAGGGGGAGGAGTAGGAAAAGGGGGAGGGGGAAAGGGGGGAGAGTGGGAGAGGCTGGGAGAGGAAAAAAGAGTTTAACAGACACAAGAATGTATATAAGCAAGGTAAATAGGCCATGAAATAGTATATATATATGACAGATATATAATGTTTTTGCCATTGGGCATATGCGCTTGTCAGAGAGAGACAAAGAGAGGGAAAGTGAGAAATCATCCCCTGGGGGGATGGCCACACCAAAATTCCTTTTCCTCCATTCTCCTCTTGGGACTTTGGGCACACATGCACATGCACCCAGCATGATTTTTAAGCCACTGGTTCTGGGACCAATCACAGTTGGCCATGTGAGAATCCAGTGCTTTAACTACCATGTCACCTGCTGGCCTATATATATATCTTATAAAACTTACTAGAAGAACAAAAATTGAATATCCACAACATAATGTGATGCTCTTTGTTGAAGATGATGAATATCATAATATCTTTGATTTATTATATTGTAAATATGATATTGTTGAAGAACCATATTATACCCTACAAAGACATACAACAATTAAGTGAAAATAAAAATTATTTTAAAAATTAAAAATAGAGGCACACTTCGAGGTGTAAAAAGGAGTGCTTGCAGTTCCTCAGGAGTAATGCTCTATCCGAATGCCACTGAAGGGCAACGGACTTTGCGGCTAGAATCTGGCCCTTCAGCAGCACAGGGGAGCAGTGTCCAGGCCTACTGCTTTCCTTCTGTCACAAGATGGGGTGAGAAGCACTCATCTGTTGTAATGCCTTCTGAAATTCGTTACCCAATAGTTGTCTAAGCCAGGACAAATCTCTTCATTGGGCAACTATTTGAATGAAAACACCCACTCTGGGCAACTAGGCAGGTAATCACTAATTTACGACCATGGAATACTCTCTGCTTCATTCTTTCAAGAGCTTCCATCTCTGCTTCGAAGCGTGAAGGTGGCTAGACCAGGGGATGGTCACTTGTGTCCTTGAGGTGAACTGGGATGGGGTCCACAATGTGTCACTGAGCCCCTGTCAAGGGCCAAACATGATACACTGCAGGAGGCACGGAGCTTTAGCGATCACAATTTACCTCCCAACTGGCTTGTTCTTTCTCAGAACCCAGGGGTCAGCGGTCCATCTGCAATGGCCTGGATTTATTTTCAAGACTGGACAGACCTGATTAAAATAATACAGGCAGGGGCCAGCAGGTAGCGTGGTGGTAAAGGTGCTGGATGCCCACATGACCAACACCTTGCAGTTCTAGTCCCAGAACTGACAGCTTAAAAATCATGCTGGGCCCGTGTGCATGCATGCCCAAAATCCCAAAAGGAAAATGGAGGAAAAGGGATTGTGGTGTGGCCATTCCCCCTGGTTGTTTCTCATCTTCCCTCTCACTGTGCACTGTGTCTGTCTCTCTCTGGTGAGCACACGCACCCTATGGCAAAAACCCAAAATAAATAAATAAATATCAATACAGGCAACCTCTGGCAGACTGTGCTGACATGGCCCAATTTAGTATCAAAGTGCAAATGAAGCCCTGTTTACCTCTGAGGCCTCCCTCAGACACAAATGTACCTGTGTTTGACAGTGGGCAAGAGACAGACCATTCTAGGTCGGTGCATGCAGTCAGAAAACCATTTCATTTTCATTTTTTCCACTTTAGAAACTTCTTCCTTTTGCACTTAAAAACCATAATTATATTTTTTTTGGTGGCATATCTCCCAAATTAAATATACTATTAGCATTTAATTTCTATGACCCAGGACTAAGATCTTTTTGATTGAAGTCAGAGAGCCCAGGATTTAATTAGCTCCAGCTTCTCTTGTAAAGCTGAGTATGAGCTGAGATAAATTAGACAATTGAATGCTGTAGGGGAAATACTGTACATACCGAAGTGATGACTTCAAGATCCTTCAGATACGTTCGCTCAGTGGTGGATACTTCTTTAGCAATGAAGTATGCTTTGTCGGTTGGGAATCTCTGCAAAAGCCATCAAAAGACACAAGACACAATAATCATGTTTGAGGATAAGCCTCTGCGAATGTCCTCATTATGAGAAAGTCTTTTTTTTTTTTTTTTTGGAGAGGTTTTCGCTATAGGGCGTGTGAGCTTGCCAGACAGACAGAGAGAGACAGAGAGACAGAAAGCGAGAAATCACCCCCCAGGGGGGATGGCCACGCCACAATCCCTTCTTCTCCATTCGCCTCTCGGGATCTTGGGCAAGCACGCACACACGCCCAGCGTGAGTTTTAAGTCACCCGGTCTGGGACGCGACCCGCAGTCGACTATGTGGGAGTTCAGCGACATAGCCATTACGCTAACTGTTGGTCCCATTATTAGAAAGTCTCGATGACAGTGATATGTTACTAACTTACGGGCACATGTGAGTTGACATCCAGGCTAAAGAAACTCTTATTTTTAAAATACTCTCCTTATTGTGTTGGAGGAACTAGGGTAAGAGAATGAATTTCCATGACGAGAATATCGTCAGACATAATGCTTCCTTCCATGCAAATACTGTCTCCAAAAGGAGTCGAATTAGTAAAATGACACAGCGATATGGTCTTTAGGAAATGAAAGAGAAAGAAGAGTCAACTCCTGAACAACACTGGTTTGTGCTGTATAGGTCCACTTATACGCGGGTGTTTTCAACAAATAGTGCAAATACATTGTTCTCTTTTTAAATTCTTAATTTTCAGAGGCCACGTGCGCTTGCCAGAGAGAGACAGAGTTATGCAGAGAGAGACAAAAAGAAAGCTCCCCGCAATGGGATGTGGTCACGCCGCAATCCCTTCTTCTCCATTTCTCTGTTTTGTTGGCATTTTGGGCACCCATATTCATGCACTCAGTGTCTTTTTCAAGCCACTGGGGCCAGGATTTAAATTTTGATCAGCCATGTGGAATCTGGCGCCCTTAACCACTAAGCCATGAGGCTGACCCAATGATTTTCTTAATAACCATTTCTTTAAGCTTACATTATTATAGTATATGATATATAATATATGACATTCAAAATACGTGTTTATCAACTATATGTTAGCAATAAGCTTCGGGTCAACAGTAGGCCATTAGTAGTTGTGTTTTTAAGGAGTTAAAAGCTAAACGTGAATTTTGGACTGCATGGAGGTCAAAACCCCTGCTCATGGGTCAACTCTGTAGTGTCCTTTGTCCGGTGGCCCTGGGCTGGCAGAGTTAGTGTTCACGAAACGGAAGTTATGTGGTTTGAGCGATTACAAAGGGGGGCTGGGTCTCAAGGGACAAGGACAAGATCTGCTGTGATGCACTGCGACTCAATGCCCTGGGACCTATCAGTTAGGGGGCAGGCCAGCCATCAGGATTTGCTTTCTTTTCAAACAAAAAAGCAAAAAGGAAGCCCCTTGTTTCCTGCCAACTAGCTCACTCCCTGAGCTCAGAGTCCACCTGATCCCTCCTCTGGGCGTACACCTGAAGAAACTGAAAGCAGAGACTAGAACAGTGTGTGCACAGACGTGTCCATCACAGCAGTCCAAAGGTGGGGATGGCACAACTGTCCAACAAGAAAAGTGTGTGGGGGCCAGGTGGTAGCGTGGTGGTGAAGGCAGCTGGATCCCACATGGCTGACTGCTTGGTTTGAATCTCAGACCTGGCTTGAAAAACACTGGGGGCATCTGTGTGCATGCCCAAAAATCCTTAAGAAAAGAGGGAGAAATGGAGACGGGATTGCAGTGTGGTCATCCTTCTTGAGGGGTTTCTCACTCTCTCTCTCTGTAAGTGCACACACCCTACAGCAAATTAAAACAAAACCAAGCAAACCACAAAACTTAAAGTGTGGTGGGCCAACAGATGGTGTGGAGGTTAAGGCACTAGACTGTCATGTGGCCGACCATGGTTTGAGTCCCAGACCCAGTGGCTTGAAAAATCACACTGGGCACATGTGTGTGCATACCCCAAATCCCAAGAGAATGGAGGATAAGGGACTGTGACGTGGTCATCTCCTCTGGGGAGTGATTTCCCTCTTCCCTTCTCGCCATCTTTCTGTCTCTCTGGCAACTACGAGCGCTCTATGCCAGAAACCTAAAAAGTAAAATGTATCTTCTGACATAAGATTATCCCGTCTTAAGAAAGATGGAAATGTGGACACATGCTATTAGTAAAGGTGTTAGGCTAAGTGACCCAGTCAGACACAGCACCAGGAATGCTGCGTGATCTCACTTACGTGAGCTTCCTGGAGGAGGCAAGCTCATGGAGACAAAAAGTAGGATGGTGGTGGCCAGGGGCCAGGAGGAAGGCCCCATGGAGAGTCAGGGCTTAACCAGTATAGGGTTTCCGTATGTATAGATGAGAAAGTTCTGGAGACGGATGGTGGTGATGACCTCCTGACAGGCTGGCCTATCTGATGCCGCTGAACTGTACCCTCACACATGTCTCAGATGGTAAACTCTAGGTTCTGTGTATTTTACTACAGTTTAAAAAATGCCCCCCCCCACACACACGCAGCACGCACATCCATGTCCACACCTTCCTCCGGCCCTCCTCTTCATCATCGGTCCTCGGGCACGCCTGGTCATTCAGCAGGGGGCTGATCAGGGGAGAGGCCTGCTTGGTGTCGGGACTCAGGTTGGGAGACAAGGTCACGTGAGTGGGGGCTGCTCCTCCCTGCGAGTTGATGGATAGCTCTGAAAGGTGAGGGCTACCAGTCAGGGAGCCTGTTTGGGGATGAGAAGTTTTAAAGAAAAAAAAAATAGTAATTCTTTCTGGGACCAGATTTCTATTCACAACTTTCACCTTTTCCAATCTTAGAACCTTGACTACCCTACGGCAAATTTAATGTGAGCCATTATTTTCTAGTTTCTTTTTCCCCCTGCATCACAGCTGTCTTGGTATTAAAGATACCTAAGTACAAATAATTCAATGGAGCCTCCATTACGTAATTAATGGTATGATAGAAAATTCTGCTTAGATAACAATTAACATAGCTTAAAAGCATAGGATGTCCCCAAATAGTATTTCCATCTCCCCACTACTGCCTTTGCTTCTAAGAATTACTCAAGAAGGACACAGTTTCTAAATCACAGCGAGACGTGGGGGTGTGATTAGAAAATAGAACTCTACGAAGAGGCATCTAAACGACTGGTGCACTTAGAACACACTAAGTCTTGTAACAACGGGGCGCAGCTAGCAGGAAGGCCAAGCGACTAACACCCCATTCTACAAAGAACAGAAGCAAGCTTGTTATACCTGGTGACGTCATTCCATGTCTCTCACTGTTTGGGACAGAAACACTAGCATCACATTACATGCAAAGGTGACCATTTAAAAATGCAAAGCTGGAGGTCATTCCATTATCACCATTCCCCTCTATGAGTCAAAAGTGACAGGCAACTTGTTAGTCCTCAGAAAAATCTATCAAATTAAACGATATGAAAATGTCTATATTACCCATCACGAGTCAGCCAAGGGAGCTGATGCATATAGGACACTTTTTGCCAACATCATCTTGCTGATAACTATACCTTAACCCATTGAGACTACATGGGTTGTTTCAAAATAGACTTCAGTTTTTGCCGAACACTTACTTTTATCATTCGAATACAGATTTGCTGGAACTAACGTTAAACAAAGTGAAAGTCCCTTGTAGTCCTGTCTGTTACCATTACGAGTAACGATAATGTCAATGCTTTCTCCATTTTTCAGTAGTCCAATTCAGGCTCACTGCTATCCAGCATGTTGTTAAGGATCTCCAAGGGGAAGGTCATTGTGCAGTTTTTTCAGAGTTCCCCCAAGATTATGACATCTATTCTCAAACTCTAGAGCCATTCATATGCATTTTAAAATCACAAGATACAACAGTCTAATGGAGATGATGAGGTAAAGGCAGTGAATCTGATCCCTGAATGGATCAACAATGGAGAAACCATCACCTGCTCCCACCTGGCCCCAGGTTGACCAGTTAGCTGTGTCACCAGCACAGAGGTGAAGTGCCACAGCACCCAAAAAAACAACAAATACAGATATCTTGTCCACTGACTATTGGTCAGCGCAGACCCTTGAATAACAAGATAAGAAAATGTGAGGAAAAGGCAGACTCAAGAAGTTTGCATTGTAAAAATCCTTCCACTTATAAATTCTCATTTTCCACATACCTCCCTGAAATGAAATCCTGGTGTTAGACAAAGACCCAGTCACCCCACACACCACCAGACCCAGTAAACCCCGGAGAAAAAAGCCAGAAATTGCTTCGCAAATGTCAATTTTATTGACACTAGTGCACAACTGCATACAATAATTGAGAAAGAACTGGAACTTGTCATATCGAAATAGTGATAACAAATAAGAACTGCAATTGTTTCAAGGTACTACACTATTCTTTTTAAAAAGAAAAAAAATCACAAAGAGAAAAATGTTATCACTACAAATAGGAATTAGAAAAGAGAAATTCTGGCAGTCTGTCTAGCGATCCAAACATTTCATGCATTTGGGAGGTGCTGTCTGAAAGTTGCTTATTTGTCCCCCATAATCTGGGAGCACGTGGGGCTTACCTTCAGCTGACACAATGCGTGAGATCGGGTGAGCAGTGTAAGTGAGAGCATGCTGGGCCTGGGATTTGCAGTGACGTGGAACAGAAAAAGCATTCGCCTCATTATCGAAAGAATTGGAGTCAAGAATAAAAAGTGGTTAGAAGGCTAGCTGGAAGGGGGAGGGGGAAATAAACGGTGACAATCAGACCCTGGACTGCATCTAGCAACAGATACCCAATGGGCGAGGAGAAAATAAGAGTGCACACACATTCAAACACAAACAGGCCTCTCCTCGAGACGGGAAAAGCTATTGCCTTAGCCGCCCTCCACCTGCAAAACATGCTGAGCAGACTCGATGGGCTGAAATAATGCGGGCACAGACCGTGGTTCCAGGAGAGGTGCCACCCTGCCAGGAAGGCATGATACATTTCAAAGAAGAGAATCATTTAGATCCAGAAGAAACCCCCTTGGACTGCACTGGAGACAGAGTTCAGAAAAGGGAGAGCTGAACGTGAACTTCCTTGTCACCTGTGCAAAGTAGGAGGCAGTTCCGGCCTCAGGTTGTTGGGTGCAAGCCTGCTGCATGTCACTAGTGTCGCCTACAGGTATGTGAGACCTCCTGCGTTATAGGTGTACCCTGTAGACTGGGGAATGGCCGAGTTAGGCTGGTCAGTTTTCCTTTTCCCACGCAGCTGCTCTGCTGGCTTTCTGTCTAGTCATAGGGCGAGATAGTGAAAGGGACCGTGACGAGCATACTTACGCAGAGAGGCCAAGAAATCAATAAATATGAAGCAATGTGGTTTAGAAGCACGCCAGCAATTCTAAGGACGGGAAAGATCTGAAACCTTAAAGTTGAATTTTGCCAATCTGAACAGCGTCTATGGTGAAGGGCCCCCTTCTCTCCTTGCAAGAGAAACTACTCTAGGCTTTCCAATTTTATAGGTGACGGTGGTTCGAAAACCCGTGTAGCTCATTTACATTCAGCAATCAATGAGATACTCTGACAAGGGCAATTAGTAGAATTTGGCAGCTTGATGAGTAATTAAAATTCTCTTTTGACTTTGAGCCAGAATGTGTGACAACAGTCCGTACAGACCGGAGCCCACATGGGGAGGTGTGATGACCTCTGTCTGAAAGAAGCCGATGTCCCAGATTACGGTGCTATTAGAAATCCATGAAATCAGTTTTCACTGAAGTAGTCCATTTTACAAAAAAAAATAAAAATAAAAAATAATGGCTCTGTGGTCAGATGGAATGAGCCTGATTTAATTTACACAGGATGATAAAGCTTGTTTAGACCTTGCAGTTTGACAATGGCTTTGAAGGCAGAGTCCCAGGCAATGGGGACAGGAAATTGTGACTGATGTTCAATTGCCACTCCCCAAATTATTAATGCCTTTTTTTTTTTAATCCCTTTTTCCATTATGACAAATTAACGCAAAGTAATTCTTTCATCAGGGAGCCCTAGATAAATCGTGATAGGGGACTCGAGGAGGAAGCACCGGATAGTAAGGCAATAGGTGGGAAACAAGTTTAAAGAGACTAGAAAAAGATCAGTTACATCCTGAAAGTCTGGAAGCTTCTAACATTTAAAATGTTATTCTTATTGGTTCCAGAACTTACTCTGCGTTTCTTTCTTTCTTTAGGCATTCAGTTCCATTTCATAACTCGCAGATCCTTTACCTCGTCCTAGTCACTTCACGCCCCACCTCCTGCCCCTCGCACCTCCTGCCACTAATCTGAATGAAGAGGTTGGAGTTTATGTTGCCCCGTGGACAGGAAATGCCTCCTCCGTTCACACTGTTCTCCAGGGAAGCATTGCTGGTAATTGCTTTTTAAAATCTTTTTAAATGTACACGTTCTCATGGCACAAACAATTATGGAACTTCAAATTAGCACTGCTATATTTATGGGTTTCAATTTATCACTCGGCCCAGAAACTGTCTTAGCTGCTCTATCTTTTTAATTTAAAAGCCATTCATAATTCTTCTCTCCTGGCTGCTCTGGGATGCTGGGTTGGCGGCATTGCCCATCTGTAGCATCGTCTGATCGGCTCTTTACCAGAGGGGCTGAGATGCCGTGGGAGGGGGATTTATGATCAACCAGTCAAATTCCTGCCTTTCTGCTCCTTTATGATTCCACGCAAGCTGCATATGAACTGCCTACCGCCTCAGCTTGTATTAAGGGCTTACAAACAAATTTACGTAATTCTGGGAAAAGAAAAACATTTCTGTATATTTTTTCAAGTACTAAAGATAGCATTTCAAATACTTAGCTCTCTAATAGGTTAATAAATTGCATATATATATATATTTCTTTTTTGCTATAGGGCATGTGTGCTTACTAGAGAAAGAGAGGGAAAGTAAGAAATCACCCCAAGGGGAAATGGCCTCACCACAATCCCTTCTCCTCCATTCTCCTTTTGAGATTTTAGGCATACATGCACATGTGCCCAGCACGTTTTTCAAGCTGCTGGCTCAGGGACTTGAACTGCGTAGCTGGTCATGTGGGACTGAACTGTCTTAACTTCCACACCACCTGCTGGGCCATGTAATCTCTGTTTTTTCAAACTAGGTGTTATATTTTCTGTAAAGGAAGGAATTTGAAAATCGAGAATTTAAAGAATAGCCATCTATAGTAAGTTGGTTAACTATGTAAATATTCAAGGACGAGAATATTGACAAAAATGAGAATAGTGATTGCTTTTTTCATTTCTTTTCAAATTTTAAGAAAACACAATCATTAAAAAGTATCTATGCCTTTTTTTGACATTCCTCCCCCAAATAAAATGATTTATCGTATGAGCTTCTAGCTATCACCTGTTTTTCATGACTTGTCTCCTGTTATTTGGTTCTAAAATAGAGGAAATTTTACCCCCACGTCCCCAGAATATGCTCCCAAAGGCACAAGGAGGAAATACAGTAGAGATAGAGGTTTGCATCTGTTTCCTAAAAGGCTCTTTTAAAATTCATAATGTATCTCTAAAAGAGAGTAACTATATCATGAAATCTCTCTAGACACTACTTACATTAGAAAGCCAGTTATCAAAGTTCATTGTGATGCCGCATAGCAGGTAGTGTCCTGAACAGACAGCACTCACTATAGTCTGATAACTAAATTGGGTCCCCATCTGCTGGAATAGGTGACAAAGGCTGGCAGTATTTTATTGAAATGGCAAGGTTCCCCGA